CGGCCACGAGTATACATCAAAGCTAATTGATCCCAATTAACTTGTGCAACAAACTCCCTAATCCGCTCTGGGGTAATTTCAATGTCTTTGATTGACGCAATAATATTATCCAAATTATTCCCATCTCTCCATGAATCTACAGAACCGTAAAGCACCTTTTCTTGAAATTGCTGTTTAATCCCTTTTATAAGATTTTCCCTTTCTTCCTTACTCCATTTTTTCAGTTCCAGTGAAAGTGGGAGCTTTGTTAAAGCCATTCTATAATCAGGAACTTGAGGGTTCTCTGGAGGACCGTAACAATGTTTCCCCGACGCCTTGGACTTGCGAGTGGAGATGAATTGTATACGAGGATCCTTCCCCAGAGATAATGCCCGAGTCGTTCTTTTCTTGCAAGAAATGTCAAAGTTCTTGAGAATTTTAAGGCGTTCCCTCAATTGTTTATTTTTCTCAATTTTTGCTTCAATCTGGGTTAATTTACTACGAAGAAGCTTCTGGAATGATCGATTACTTTTAATTGCATCAATGAACATCTTTGCAGATTTTGGGAAGGTAGAATTCTCTGACTTGTCGCTTGATATCCTAGATTCGGAAGCAGTATAAGCAGAAAACCGTCTCTGGATAGCACGAAGAGTCTCGAAATCATCTTCAGCGTCGTCCTCGTTACAATCGGAAGTAATTGGCGGGAAAAGAGGATCGCAAACAACATCCGACGTCGCAAGACGACTCCTTCTGCTCCGAAACAGCTCCAAATCCTCATCATCACTCTCAGAATCCAAACCTAACTGGTTGGCTGATGCAGTGGAGGCGGATGCGGACACAGGAACAGGAGGAGAATTGCAATCGGCAGCGTTGATTTCGCAATCGTCAGGGTTAGGCCCGGTTTTGAGACAGGCTTGCTTGAGGGCTTGAAGGTCGTTTTGGAATTCTTCATCATCATCGTTGTCGCAGGCGGAGAACTCCTTATCGTCAACCTCTAAAGAGAAATAGAGACTATCCATGGTGATTTGCAATTGATGTTGCAATGATTGTGGTTTATAAATTAGATTAGATTCAGGACTGCTCAAATTTGGTTTCTTGATTTGATTTCCAATTTAGTGTCCTGCGAATCCTTTTCGTAGTAGGATTTGAATTTCTCTGTACAACCAACCAGAATATTTAAATAAAAATACTAAAATGCAGAACTTTCTTGGAGAAAGGAGAAATTTTTTCCCTTACCAAGCAAATCAAGCCTTAGTGGAGTGGGCCTTGTACATAAGAGCACCTTGCTGCCACGGTGAGACCAACCGTATATATATGAAAGAAGGTTGGCTTTTGAGATGCTGTTGTTACGATCTATTCTCTCCCTTCTGGCCTTTAGTCATTTGAAAGAGAAATTGGACTCGAAAATGAGTTCTGCTTCTATTCTCCTCGTGAAGAAATTCTCCGTATGATAATAAGGATATCACGTTGGAGATATTTCACCTACGAATATAATGACACATTGATAAATGTGCTCTTTACTTGCAATTAAAAAAATAAATTTATTACAATTTATAAATTATTACAGTAATTGTAAGCTAGGACCACGTGCTGATGGGTATGGAAGAGTTTCTCCTTCTGCTGATCGCATTCATCTTCAATGCAGCTTACAACTAAACCACCAGTCTCACCCTTGAACGAGATTGTAAGCTGTTTAAAGCCCGGTGTTATGTTGTATATCTATCCATGCCCAGTACAAAAGATAATGGGCCTCAACAAGAAGAGGTCATCCCTGCAGGTATTAATTTTTGAGATTTGATTTTTCTCTAAAAATCTAGAACCCCTCCTAAACCCTAATCCTCTCTGTTCGATATTCAGGTGTTATTCGGAAAATTCGCTGCAGGTGGAAACAGGGGATTGCGTTTCCAAGTGGCCCTTTTGATTTTGTATTGGAATTATCTTTTTTTTTTTTTTAGGTAAAATGACTACACATGAAGGAAGGTCTTTCCTTTCCCAAATCCATCCCATCTGTTCAAGTTTGAACTGGCCAACATAAAACCTCTAGCTTGCAACGGTGGCACATCCGTAGGGAGGTGGGAATTCTCTTTGCAAAAACTTTACTTCCTGCATCCTGCTCTTTAGTGATTTGCGTTTCTTTTGTTTTTGGAATTGGGTGTCTTTGAACAGGATCATTTAGATGATAAACATCGCAGGTGTTGTTCAATCAGACACAGGAAACCCAGTTGAATTTGATTCGAAGAAGTAGGAAAAGGTAAAGTTTGCTGCTTTGATTGTTTCTTCTTCTCATAAAATTTAATAAGCTTGGAGTACTTCAAAAGGTTTATATCTTTTGAATTTGATGATGCTAAGTGGTAGGAAAAGGTAAAGTTTGCTGTTTGATTGCTTCTTGTGAAATTTAATAGGCTTGGAGTACTTCAAAAGTTTATATAATGTCTGCATAAATTTGCCATATTGATCCCAGAGATAAGCTTAATAGGGGTGGTTTGACTGGTTTACCAAACTAAACTTGAGTAAAAGATTGGTTCTTAATGCTCCATTAAGATTGTCTGTTGATTATCTTTCTTCAAGCTGTTTTTCGCTCTTGGTGCTATTTCAATCTTCCCTGATATTGCCATTATTTGTTTTCTTGTTTCTGTTTTTTGGGTGTGGTGTGATGGTGTGGATTGGATTAACTTACAGAGTGCCTCAGGCATCAGTTTTGGATCTTTTGCTGCTAGTTGGATCTCAGCGACCATTTTGTGCTTCACATAAGTTTTTGAAGGCTTATCTGCAAGTTAAATGCGGTTTTATGTATATGCTGTTGATCAGAATATGTAGAATAGAACACATGAGAAAAATGACAGACAGAATATGGCACCTGTGTGTATTAAGAGGCCAAGGATTCTAGTATTTTTGGTTTCAAGTTCTGCTGTAGTTATGGAGCTATTCCTTGTTCCAGACACTGACTACACTACACAACCAGAGAATCTCCCTGTAGAACTTGGTTACATCAGAGAGGATTTTAATTTGTAACAGTAGGTTCTGTAATTTCTAAAAGAATAGAA